TGCAGGGAAGGGCTCTCCTGGTGGTCCAAGAGTCAGCACAGATTAGGAGGATGCAGGGAAGGGCTCTCCCGCAGCAGGTGTGCTTCAGGATTGGGCTAGATGCACTCCCCTTTGCTGTTCTCCCAGCCAGACCTCCATGTCAGAAGCACAGGGTGGCCTTGCTTGGGAGCCCTCCCTGCCAGCATGACCAGCTCTTTGGGGCTTTCACTTCACCATTTTAAAGAAGGTACAAAAAGCTGTATTTAGAAACTGCTCCAAAGCGTCTCCAAGCGGCAATGAAGTCCTCAAATCCTTCCTTCCCCTTCCAAGCTGGCTCCAAAATCCCTCCTCTGTGCTTCACCACTTAACGATTCATTTTGCAAAGCCAAACTCTAAGCCGGAGCGGCTGGGATTGACATGCACCGTACCTCCCGGCCACATCACTAAAGACTCCAGCTTTTGGCCCCTTCTCCCTCTGCCCACTCCTCCATGCAGGAGCAGGCCAGGCTTCCCACCGCACGCAAGACTCCAGGTAACAAATAAAACTTGGGGCCCTGGGCAGGAGAAAGACACGTATTTCATCCCCCAGCCACTCATCTCCAGCCCCTTCAGCAGGTCCTGAGATGAGGTGGTAAAATAGGACTCTCATCTCTTCACGCACCAGCCTGCAGGCAAACAACTTGCTCTCCTAATTGCCAGCCGTGGCTCTCATGCAGCCCCTTCCCAAGACCTGGATGCTGCCTTTCATTTTGCTCCTGCCGAATCCACAGAAGTAATTTATCAATTTCCTGAGCTGCCAGGGTCAAACCAACAAAGGAATGCAAACGACTGAGACGGGCCAGCCCTCTGGGCTTCTCTGTAACGCCAACAGCCTGCTCCAGCGCTGGGAGATGCTCTGAAACGATCTGCCCTTGGACATGGTTGTAAAACCAGCCCTGTTTACCGAAATACTTGCAAAAGAAGCAGTGCAACCGGCTGGGGAGATCCCCTTCCTAGCGATCCTGCAGCCAAGAGCAGTAGCGCTGTCACCAAAGGGCCAGTGTAAAACTGGGACAATGCCCTGCTGGGTCTCAAGCACCCGTGCGGCAGAGCTGCTCTCCCCAGCCCTTATCTGAGCCAGCGGGTTGGCACCGACATCTCCTTCAAATCTGAGCCCTCTCTGGGGAAGAAGCAGGCGTGGGCAGAACCACTGTCTGGGGAGGATAAGGGGTAGGAGGCAGGACGAGGAGAGATTAACTAGGACTTTGCTGCCCGAAGCCAGACGGGCTGCACTGCACGGTCACACTGTCGACACATTTGTCTGCCCTATGTTACAGGAGACCTTGTTTGGCGGCCAGCTGCCCCTTCTCCCTTACAAAGGGGGATTTTACTAGCATTAAGGACTCACCGGTCAGGGCTGAACCAGTGACCTACCTACGCTGCCGCAGGTATCAGCACAGCTAATCTGGACCTTACCCTGACCTCGGGACCAGCCCCAAAAAAATAGGGCAGCAGCAATGAAAACCATCCTTCACGGCCGGAGACGTGAGAGCGCGCACTGGCTCTGCGACGGGGGCGATGCCGGTGTTTCAGGAGGGGTGTCCCACCATGGGGACGGTGCCGATGCTGCAAGATCCCGCAGGATGTGGGTTCAGCCCAGTGGAGTGGGCCAGGGCTCCCTGCCGGTTGCCGCAGGGGTGTCGGTGCCCCTCACCTCTCCAAACTCACCATTTAAACCATTTTCCCCCGAATCGGTTGCTGGGCGCAGCAAGGCCGTTTCCATGTGGATGGCTGTTTCTCCCCGTTGCCATGGCAACGGCGCTGGGCGCCAGCAGGCCGGAGGCGGGAGGGTGAGGACCGTATCTCCCCAGCGCTCGCCAAGGGCAGCAGGTACATCTAATCCAGCATCGCTCCATTTTACGCCTTTGAGGAGCACCGAGGAGCTATCAAATGACCAGCTTGGTGGCAGCGAGCAGGCGCTCGGAGGGATGCAGCGCTGCCCGCTGCTTTTATTAACGCCCTAAAATCATGTCAAACAGCAGCTGGCCAGCTCTGCAAGGGCTTCCCTGCCACCTGCCTGGCTCTCACCCCCCCAGGCCTACGCATCCCCTGGCTCCAGCACCCCCGGGGCTGGGCTGTCCTCTGGCAGGGCTCAGGCCCGGGGTTGGATGCCGACACCGCCAGCGCATCCTCACCAGCCCCATCCCATGCAACCAGAAGCGTCCGCCCAGTTCATCAGGCACCGGGATGGAGGCAGGGTGCTGGGGCACCCAACTCCCTCTTGTACCGCTCTGCCTCCCTACCTGAGGCGGTCACAACACACCTGGATGGAGGAAGGACACTGGCAGATGAGAGGAGGGACCTGTGCAAGAGCAGCTTTCAGAGGGGAATGGTGCACTGCCAAGAGCAGGGGCTCAGGGAGTCCTCCAGGCAAAGCCAGGGCTGCTCCGGCCCACGCTTGGCATGTTGCGAAGCTACTGGGGAGAAAGAGGAGAACAGCTACAGAGCATAAAAGTAGCATGTTCCTGGCTTTAAAAAGGCTGAATTCAAACTAGTTATGTCACCCACAGAAAATAAACTCCTCCAAAGGCTTCAGTTCATACCTGGACAAAGCAGAATGCAGAAAATGCTGGGGGATTTGTAGTGTTACCCACAACTTTCCGTTGCCTTGTTGTAGTTCCTATAGGATTTTCTTCCACAGTGGCCAAGTGCTGTGCTGCTCCTCCTCTAGCAAAGCTCCCCTGGAAGGCATCTCTCCCTGCAGTCCTCCTCCCTCTGGCCTGCCAAGGGCCCTGGGCACTCACCGAGCATCTCCCTGCCACGCTCCTCTAAAACCATCCTCAAATTTTCAGGTGCACTTGGCATCCTCGCAAAACCGACGACAGCAATCACCCCGCTAGCAAACTGCAGCAGCTAGAAGGTGCCCTAGGAAAGGATTTGACTTCTGGGAGGAAAGAAACAAGAGACAGTAAAAAATTACCTCTGCACAAATGCAGCAAAGCCTGTGGGCTCATACAATGTCCTCCACTCCTTGTTAACCAAGCGAGGGCCAACACGTTACCCAGATGCTGCGGCACAGGCCTAAGTGGCTGGGACTAGGGGCACTGTGCCCCTTCCCTGTTCTCCTCGCATGCAGGACCACGGTAGTCGCCCACGAATTACTGGTTTCCAGATTGCTAGTCTAAAACCGGTGCGGTATTTTTATGTCAAAACATCAGGAAAAGAATGTGCAATTCAGGGTTTTTCCCACGTCGGTATTTTTCTGAGAACTCATTTCCTTACGCAGTAAGTACAGCTCTTCTCCGAGAGAAACAAAGGCAAATCAGACTTCAGCCAGCAAACAGTTCTAGCAGGGGATGCTGCTGCCTGATGAGCAGTCAGCCTGGTGGGCAGGTAGTGCCAGGCTGTTACTGCTACAATGACTGACTTTGCACAGCTCAGCCCACATCCCCCGCAGCCCTGGCACAAGGAAAAAAGATAAAAAATAAAAGCCTCTTCACCATTCCCTCTTCCTGAGGAGTATTTGGCCAGAAAAGCTTTTACAACCATATAACAAGACAGGGAAGCATAAGGATTCAGGCACATCAGCAACCTGGGCTCTGAAACTCAGAAAGCAAGGCAAAAGCAAACCCACAAAATCCTGTCCCGTTGCTTGCCCACAGGACCATCTATTTGCTCTGCAGCGTGCACCTATCTGATAAAGGTTCACACCAGGAACGACGAAAGCTGTCAGAGGGCCACATGTCCCGTTGCCATCCAGCCTTTACCATCTCTCTGCCCGCAGCCCTGAGGGATCCTGCAGGAAAAGCTGGCAGAAAAGCAGCAAAACAAAGGGGACAAACAAGACAGACAAAGAGACTTCCTAAAGCATCAGAAATCTGATTCTTCTAGCTGGGTCAAAAGGACCAAGGGAAGCATAATAGACACCAGGACCTGAGCAAGAGGAAGGTCCTATAAGTACACCGAGAACATCAGGCTGCTAAATCAGAGCCAGCCACTCAGTGCTGGAAGGTTAATTGAAAGGAGTCTTTAGTAGGGACACACCGTTAATGTATACAGAGCTTTGATTCTAATGGGATTTCTGTGGCTCACTGTCTAATGCAGTTTATATAAGAAATATTGCAAGTGTCCTGCTTCTACTACTTTTTTTTTTCTTTAAAAGCAAAGGCAGCACAAGAAGTAATAAACGATGGGATTCTGCTGCCAAACATGATTTCCAAGTCAAGCATCCCCTTGTCACTTAGTGCCTATCTGAAAAGCCACGGGCTCAAGAGCTTTCTGACACACTCGAGGTCTCCAAAGGAAAGCATCAGAGGTCTGCACACACAAAAATGGAGGAAGCGTTCAAAGGAAAGTGGCTTTCATGCCCGAGATGTGGATGCTTAGAGGAACTAACACAAACAGGGATGCTGCTAGGTTGTTACAGAGCAGCAGCAGATTACAAGGGGATCCCAGACTTTGGGAAGGTCCCGTCCGCATGTTGTCAGCCACAACGTTCTGCAAAGCTGCATGGCGGCTGGGAGCAGCAGGCAGCCAAAAATCCGAGTGCCCTAGCCCAAGCTAAAAGCAGTGGGTAGGTGATGGCTCTTCTGCTAAGCAAGGTGTGTCATTTGACTTTCATCTCTCGATCATGGATCACCAGCAGAAAATGGCCACAAGGTTAGACAAAAGCTATAAATGGAATAAAGGAAGAGTCTCTGAGTACAAGTTGGGCTAGTAATAATATACAAATTATATTGTGTGTATATATATACGTAAACATATATAGAAAATGTAACTGAAGGCCAAGAATCCCTCCCCCAGCATTAGCTCACGTAGACAAGAATCTGAGAAACCTGCAGTAATTACGGAAATGCCTCAGGTAGGAACATCCTTAAGCACACTGGTACTCCAAGTGCCAGGAAGAGGCAGCAAACTCACATGCGATGTGCCTGTGTAGTCCAAGGCATACCCCTGCCGTCTCTCCTGAGCAAAGGGATTCCCATCTGCACCATTAAGATTTTTGGAAGAAAAAGACAATAAATCAGGTTCTTAAAGCAAATTCCGTTTATTCCACTTTTGTCTTGTGTTGCTAACAAATCTTCATCCTAGCCTAGGAAAAATATCAGGTAAAAAATATCTCCCCTTTCCTCCCACCCTCCCCACCGCACACACACTTTTTGTCTCTTAAATAACAGAATCAAAATTTCAAGCATGAGAGACTTTTCTTTCAATACATTTCTGTAATAAAATTAACTCTGTTGTAGATATAAAATGCAGCAGCCAAGACCAGAGGATCTGCTATGCTACTCCAAGGCATTTAGTACCCAGAATGATCAATCAGTTTGTCTGCAAACATAATAAGAAAATACTTAGCACTTACCCAGCACTTTTTATCGATGAATCTCAAAGTGTTTTATAAAAGCTGAAAATATGTTTTTGGCCTCATTTACGGAGAAGAAAACACCAGCTGGAACAGGAAGAGATTTGCCCCCAGTCACAGAACAATTTAATAGCAGAGCTAGGAACAGATCTCTGCTCTCTCAGCCCCAAGTCCAACAATCCGTGCCACACTCTCTGTTTCACACAGGACGGCCTGAATCTGGCAAAAGCCCTGACTGCAGAAATACTGAAATGGTTTATATTTTTGCCACCAGAAAAAAAAAAATCTAAATGGAGATCTGACAGCTATTTTAGTAAGCACTGACCTCCCAGGCTGTGATGCCAAGGAGTAAACCCAGTTTGGAAGGAGCTGCTGAGAGCTTTGGAAAAGGAAAAAAAAAAAAGTCTCATACTGGAAGTGTGAACAAATGTGAGACTGGTGCAGAAGGAGGTAAATCCATAATCTACAATGTGCAAATGATTCTCCACTTGGAGCTATAATTGAATGTTTGAAGAACGGATCGCAGGATAAAAACCTAAAACCTTGACAAATAGTGTTATTAGATGGAGAGGAACCTGGAGCTAAAGCACACGTTGCCTGACACCTCCTCTATTAGCAGTCTTCTGACCTGAAGTCGCTCCTGACAGACCTGAGAAACCAACAGTGCAAACACCGGGAAAAGAGCGGTGAAATACAATGTCTTACCCTAGAAACATTTTTAGCAAGGCCAGGAAAGGAAAGAAGTACCATGAGACAGAGAGTAAAGGCTGATTCAAGGACCCCAGGGCACCCTCCATTATGAGGTCCACTATTCATGCTATAAGCAGGCACCGACAACCCACACAGTTATTTTCATACGCATTACCATGCAAAATAAGTGCATGACTTCAGTACTGCTCTTCACAGGCACGTGGCCACAAGACATCACCCACAGCTCGTTTTGGTCCAAACAAGACACCCACAGGGTCCTTTAAAGTAGAGGGTCTCCCGTGTATAATCACCCATTTTCTAATGCCCCCTCTGTACCTCCCATGGGAATGGGACAACAGCAGGCTCCAGCTTCCGACAGAGCACCTCGTGACACTGGGATGGTTCCACTGCCTGGCAGCACATGGTCATAAACCAGCCTGCGTGCAGAAAACCCCAAATGTTGGCCTACAACCAAAAACTCCATTTCTAAGAGGGAAAGGCAGGCCAGCATCCTCGCCAGCCCGCAGTGGCAGGTAATATTACACCCAGGAGCTTATTTTATCGGCAGCATAAACACCGCAGTGGTCCAGTCAGCATCGACGCACCAGCCAGCTGTGCTCTGAAGCCTGGGAACAGCAAATCGGGTTCTCACAGAGAACAGCGTATCAGACAGGGATAGGTAAGCAACCTGAGTCAACAAGCTTGTCTCCTAACTGCAAACCTGCAGCAATGCACATTAATTCAGGTCTCCTCCCTCCTTTCTGGGGAAACCCAAATGCTACTAATTCTCCACTGTCGTACTCCAACACACAGGAGGGTGCCAGCAGCTGGGTCTCCCTTCCCCTCAGCAGCAGAACCTGCAGATAGCCGTGAGGATTCACCCCCATGCTGCAGAAAAGTCCTTCCGATGTAAGCAAGGAGCTGCTGTTGCTCCCCACACCCTTCCCAGCCACCCATCTTCCTTCTGTGCCCACCTCCTCATGCATTAGAGACACAGCCAGCTGCCCTGGCTTTCTGGTATTAACACACCACCTTTCACTTAGGAGCTTTTACAGATACTAAGGCACAAAGATTAAGTGACTTGCATAAGAGTCAGGAACACACCTTGTGTCTCTCAATTGCAGTGATTTCTCACACCTTTTTTCCCTGGCCTTTTGCATATTAAAATCACGTGAGTAGATTGCGTGGATGAGAATAGGATCCCATTTCCCTAGTAATACTGAAGATACAAACACCGGTAGCTGTATTTCTAAGCCCTCCCTGTGGCTTCCATCCATTCCCTCTACGACAGGCTATTTGTGTCGACAAGGTAGAAGAGCACCAGTGCAGAAGGGAACACTCCACAAATGTGTTGCCAAGCTCCATCTTTGCCATCCTAAGACCTACAACAGGAGAAAAAAAGGACATGCCTCTGGGAAACCAGGAAAGGAACCTCAGCTACACTTTGTCCATCAACAGGAATAGGGAACGACAGCAGCGCTTAATGCAGCGGGGACCTCCGCAGTACAAACAGGGTCAGAAGAAACATTCACAGGTCTAACTTGAGCGGATCGGCTTTCCACAGCTGAGGGCCCTGCGAGATGCCGGCTGGTAGGAGCTCCCAGGTCAGGTTTCTTGACGAGTGACGGTTTGGTTTCCTAGAAGGCGCGAGTGTCTGGCTTTGGTGCATCTGTGGCAGAGGCCCAGACCCAAGGACAGCAGCCGTCCCGGCTACGTGTCGTACTACGTGCAGCTGTGCCTCATGTGGAAGTTAACCACGTACTCTGCGTTAGTGCGCTGCACCGAGATGGCAAAGGGCTCGAAGGGGTGGAAGGTGAACGCAACCAGGCGTCGCACTGTGTGATTGATGGGTCGCCCCAGGAGTCCCGCCTGGATCTCAAACTTCAGGAGGCCAGAATCACGAGCGTAAAATCTGAAAGGAAGAGAAAGTCAATTATGGCTGTTCCCAACTATTGACTTTGCCATCTGGGCTCTTCACACGCAGAGACAAGTGCCTTGTTCAACCTCTGGTATTCCCTCAGGGGCAGGAGGTCCTCAGCTGGGTGTCTGGCGCTTGGCTACACAGGAAAGTCCCTCCTGGGACAGCTAGTTTTCCACTGTCTAGAAAAGTTTGCCTTCATTTTAGTATCATCATCCGTGAGAGAACTCTGCCTGTCACTTTGGTGGACATAGCTGACTTCACAAGAGGGAATAAGTTTGGTCCAGACCCCACCTGTGCTGGGGTCCTCTCTTAATGCAAGCTGCTCCCCTTGATCCCTAAGGCAGATATACCGTACAGAAATGAGCTCACTTCCCTTATTCCTTTATTCTGGGTGTAAGGCCACCCCTTTCCTCTCCTGCTGCTGCCTGGTAGGCTTTACGCTGCTGCTCTTGTGCCTCGCTACACCCCCATTCAGTCGGGGAAGGTGAACAGCTGGATCCAATTCTGCTGAAGGGTGCCGAGTTGTACTTTACAGTTCAAGCGAGGCTTTGCAGTTCCTTTTACATTTCCATCAAAAAAGCATTAACAGGATAGGCTGGGCAGGAAGTACCTGGTGGACAGCATTCAGCTATCACAGCAAGGGCAGAGGTCAAGGAAACCCTTGCCTGTGGGCCAAGCTCATTTGTATCTCCAAACAGGTGAGCTCTGGAACACAGCTTCAGCACAAAGCAAACGTTGCCGAGGGGATGAGGCAAACAGTGCTGAAGAGACAGGCAAGTCTAGGAAGCTCTTTGCTTCTTTAACCTTCTCTGCATACTCTGTGTAACCGACATAAGCCCAGGTTACACCACCGTCCTGTGCTGCTGTGCGAACAGGAGATTCCCTGCGATGACCCCACCCTCCCCAAGACTTTGGTGGAGGTTTCTTGGATGTGGTAGTGGAGGTTTCTGGATGTGGTATCTTCACAAAGCAACTGGGCTCTAACTCAAGTCCTCACCCTGAAGTTGTCTCAGTTTCTCAGACCATTTTCTCTGCTCTTTCACTTTCAGGCACAGAATTGCCATTTTGCCTCCCAGCTGTTTCCTTTTCCACCATCACTTAGTACATGTGGGTATTTTGCATTTTCCTCTGGCTTTAACTCAGAGAATGCTTTTAATATCAGAGCACATTCCTCCCCCCCCCCCCCCCCCGGCAGCAATACAATGCACTCAGCTCTCAGCCTGGAAGAACGGGTGATGACAGATACAGGCGATGCTGTTCCAGGAGCAGACATACTCCACATTTTAACAACACAGCCTATTGAGAACCTCATGTTCTTCCTGGAGGGCCACTCTCCTCTCTCTCTGAATCAAAGTGCCAGCCAGCCCTGCCTGAAAATTGCACACAAGAACCCAGCAAGAGAGTCACAATCTTGGTATTTGGCTTTTCAAAAAGCCCTTTCCCTCCTACACAAGGCTGGGTATGCAGAGGGTCATTCTTTAAATAAAGCACAGTCCCCCGTCTACTCCTCTCTCTCTCCCCAATTCACAATAATTTACTACTCAAGATGAAGCTCCCTGTAATCTCAAAGATGTGCTCAGTTTGGTATTTTTAAATCTATTTTTAAAAGTGCTCTGCAATCAGAGGCTGTTTCCATGGGCTCTCACTCTGAGGATAAATTAGGCACTGCAATATAAAATTGTATGTCAACAGAAACAGCCACACTAGCCTTTTCAAACTGTATGAAAATGGAAGATTTATCTGCAGACCAATTTTTTGGTTAAACGGCTCCTTATTAGCCATCTAGATGGATTTTAGAGACCCCCTAGTATAGGTAAGGCTGCGTTAGAGCCTCTTCCTCACAAGTGCCATCATTTCACCAGTGAATATCGCTTCAAGACTCCTGAAAAGATACTGGAAGACGGAGGTGATGGGGAACCTAAAGTCCTTCCCTCCTGAGAGCAAACAGCCACTGGTCTCTCAAGTAGCCAGAGACGCGAGTCGAACCTTCCAGGATGCAGAAAGGCACTAAGGGTTAAAAGCACACAGTGCACAGAGGCACGCTGAAACCGGGGTTAAAAGCACACAGTGCACAGAGGCACACTGAAACCAATGTGTAAAAGGTATGGAGGCCTTCCTACCTCACACATCGTGCCAGGAAACTGCACACAGATTATAACACCCTTAGCTGCTGAAGGGTTTTGCACTCCAGCCAATTATAGGACTTGCATTACAAATCCTGTGGCCCCTCATTTCCAAGCCCTCTAACCACAACAGGCAGCGGCACTATTTTATTAATCCCTTTGTTTTGCATGTGAGACACACAGCAGCCCTATTTCAGCTACTGAATGGTTAAGGTTAGCACCTTGCCTTCTGCTTACTTTCCAAAAACCAGGAGCCCCACTGCTCCCAGGCCCTATTCAAGTCCTTACTGACTCTGCATGGCTTTGAGCTTTAAAAGCTCTGGCTCTGAAATGCCGGTTTGCTCAGGGGAAGGAGGGAGGGAAGGTGGCACTTTGCTTTGTTTACTACAAAGACGTAACCACAGCAAATGACTGCGGTTTTGCTCCCTTTTGTCTGCAGGAGATACACAGGTTGGCTTTGAGCTTTAAAAGCTCTGGCTCTGAAATGCCGGTTTGCTCAGGGGAAGGAGGGAGGGAAGGTGGCACTTTGCTTTGTTTACTACAAAGACGTAACCACAGCAAATGACTGCGGTTTTGCTCCCTTTTGTCTGCAGGAGCCATACACAGGTTGGCGCTGGCAGACAACTGCCACCCTGCAAGCTTTCCCAACGTCAAGCATGACAAGGGGGAAAGGGCAGGCTTTTCTCTGCAGATAACATGGGAGCTGGAGATCAAACCGAATCGTACAGGCAGAAAAATAAATTAAATATACATAATTTGGGAATTGAGAGCACAGGAATAATCAGATGTTCCCCACCACCTGAGTCAGGGACAGGAGAGACATGAAACCACTTTTTGAGAATGCATTGATGAAAATAAAGTTGGGAAACCGGACAGAATGGTCTCCCTAGGCTGCCTGAGCCCCCAACATGTGTGCAGTCACTAAACAAAGCACTTAGGCATTGAAGCCTCCCTCTGTTTTCAGAGCATAGGTTTGCTTCTGCAGTACTATAAGTGGAAAGACTATTCTGCCTGGAGAACTCAGCCTCTTTGGGCCTTTCAGGCCAGAGATGTTGGATTTTTAACCACTAGTACTTGCAGCCATGTCTGCAGCCAACAGAAAGAAATAAATAGTCCTGGTGTTTCTGCAAGAAGCATTGCAAACCTCCTTATTCCCAAGCTCGGACTTATTGCTTCTGCCAGCATCAAAGACTCAGACAGAAGAGGCACAGAATGGCCCTTACACCTGTCTAAAACTCCTACTACAGAAACAGATTTCCTACAGATCACAGAAAGAAGGGGGGTATGAAGAGGAGTACAGCTCCCAGGGTGAGAACTGTAAACAAGGAAAGTCTGCTAAATCAATACCACAAGGATTCTGAATAACACCTAACCCAGCTGCTATTTTATTCACAGGACAAACCAGATCATCCTTGCCAGCTAAACCCATGTGCTCAAAAGGGATCCTTCCAGCACAGGAAAGCAGGCATCCAGAACCGTAACACTCTGCAGCCCAAACACAACGGCAGGACTGCAAGAAGAGGAGGAGGAACAAGAGCATCCATACAGAAAAGGCTCAGGCTTCACCGCCCAAACCTTCCCCAGGGCAGCTCCGTGAGAAGACCTGAAGAGCCCTCCCACACATACAAGATAAAAGAGTTATGGCAAGGAGAGAGGCCAAGCTTTGTGGGACTGCTGAAATAAACCCTCTGATGAAAGGATGGCGTAAGAGAAAGGCCTCGATCTACTCCCTTTTCTGCACGTTTGATGCCACACGGCAGAGGTGATTTAGAGTTACTCTCGCACTGCTCTCCTCACATACAGCTTCTTGGCCTGTTCCATACCTTATAGGGTGATCACCGCAGGTCTTGGGCCGCTCCATGACTGACACCCACTTGTCATCATAGCTGAAAAGGGAGAGGTCGAGGTACGGGCTGCCACTGTACGACTGGGCGCTGATCGGGAGCTGGCCCAGCAGCCTCCGCACGGCCTCCGTGTGCCCTCCATACTTGGCATTCACAATAGTGTCTTTGAACCTGCAGCAAACCAAGAAACGGGTTTTACTCACAAAGGCCACAGGTGAACAGCACAGCTTAAATAAACTAAGGAGGGACACGGATAGGGAAAGAAAAACAGCAGCAGTGTAAGAACTAAACCAGCTCATTTCCAAAGATGTATCGCAGTGATTCAAGCATCAACCAGTTCTGGTGACCTTTTAATCCTCCCTCATCATTACTGTTTCTGCTCTGAAAGTCCAAACTGACAGAAGGACAAGACTGTGCCTACCCACAAGGTCTGGCCCCAGCTGCTCTGCAGTACAGGAAATGAACAGGATCAGAAACAGGGAGAGATGGATTAGCAGCTTATCAGTCAATCCAAGTTCTACCATGAAGCCTGGAAACAGCATAAGCAAAAGCCAGAGGGTTTCACAGTAACAGTCGAGCCCTTAATGTCGACTTGAGAATCCCCCTCTCCCTAGCCGCTACGTTTTAAATGCGTAAAGGGAGAAACCTTAGATGAGGAAGAACCTTGACGAGAAGGCTAAAGCTCTTCAGAAACTACAGTGAGCTGAAAGTTCTTCCTGGTGGAGAGATTAACACAGGCTGCATTTCTCTTCCCAAATAAAATTTGAGCTTTCCATGTGCAAGAACAGTCAGATCAGTTGCACGGACGTCATACATCAAGGAGGATAAAACATTTCCATTTGACCAGAAACACTCAGCCAAAAAGCCAGCTCGCTGTGGATTATGCTCTATTATACTTTGCTATGGAAGTTAAACACTCCTGTTACAGGCCCTTGTAGCCAAGGGGATGAAAAGATTCTCCTCTCTAACACAAGGCAGGAGTTGTTCTTCGGGTGTCTGCGGTGAGCTCTCTCTCATTCTCTCTCCCACTAAGCATTATGGATTTCCTGACAGGCAGCTCTAGAAAGTTACAGACACAGTCAACTTCCTCTTACTTATGTGACATCAACCTAAAAATCAACAGAAGCTTCATGCCCATAAGTGATTGCCAAGTACTTTGGATGATATGAAACAACTCACTGGAAGAACAAAACACCCTGAGTCACATAAAAATATATTCCAAGAGAAATAACACACTCTGCCTCATTAAAACCACATTTGACTGTTAAAGCACATTCTAGAAACTCAGGTTATTTTGATATTTTCCTCAGCTTTCACAAAAGGTCTAGGCAGATGAGTTTCCTTTCTCCTAGCACAGTTTGACGAGAACCACAAGCTTGTGACTGATGTTGGAGGAAATGCCACAGAACAGTTTGATACACACTGAATTCAGAGAACGCCACTTGGCAAAGTACGTCCAATTAGATGACGCTAGCACCTTGACAAATCGTATCTTCAGGGACCTAAGCTACTGGGCAGTAACACTTCAATAACCTCCAGAAGAGTTACTGCTCAAGGAGAGCTGGAAACATCTTTCCCCCAAAATTCCTCTTCCTTCTTCTAAGCGCTGGATTGCCACTGCTTTGTTCCTTCTGTAACAAGACAGATGCTGTGGAATATAAAATCGGATGCATGAGGCTGCAAGATGAACCGTGTACAAGCCAGACCCTTGCATCACCCAGCGACTAAAGGAACTGGTTTTCTCAGGGTTGCCGTTGTTATTTGATACTAGCCTTCAGCTGATGGGGGCGAGCGTGTGTCTATACGGTATAAAGCATGCTCCGAATGGCTCACCGGCGCTGGATCTGCCTGGCAAAGTTGTTGCTGGAAGCTGAGCAGGGGAACTGGACCGCCTCACTGTGCAGGGTGGCATTCCTGAAGAGGTCACAGAAGTTCTCAAACAGCTCCAGCAGCTCATCGGACGTATTCTCGAATACAGCAATAACCTCTGTGGTCACCATGTTGTACACGACGAAGAACGAAGGCTGGGGAGAGAGGCAGAGGCAGCGGTTACCCAGGAGAGCACACGCGGGGAAGCTGTCCCTTCCTTTTCCCCGCATGACACCGTAGACCCTATCCAAATTTCTCTGCAGCGCAGGAGAATCCCACATCCTCACACTAATCCATTCTGCTATTCAAATGCCTCAACAGGTACCAAATTATCCACCTCTTAACTGTGATTATTTATGAAGAAAACTTAATGGGCTTCCAATTTTCCAACTCAAACTGGATGTCAATATTTCTGTTTCCCTTCCTCTCTGCCCTCCACCAAATCCAAAACACTTTCTAAAGTGCCAAATTTAATTTTGATTCCTGCTGACAAAATGATTTTAAAGCCAGTGCTAGCTGGCCACAAATTATTTTTCCCTTTGCGCAGAGACATTATTTTCTTCCCCTTCTTAATATTTCCATCACACAGAAATAAGCCTTTTTAGTGTACTATGCACTACACCACTGCCCACAAAAAGTTGCGCCCTCCAGGTACCCTGCCAGCACAGAAATGAAAATCTGAAAGACATTAATGACTTCTTTTTAATGCCGACATGCTCGTGCAAGAAGCCCCAGGCACTGCGCTGTGGATTGGCTATGGCAGTGTTTCACGGCACAAATGAGCAAGAAATCGAGAAAAAGGTGACATTGTGTCAGCGCAGCTACATCAAAGGGAGACGATGTTCCTATCCCATCGGGAAAGGCCAGATTTAATCCTTGGTCATCAAAGGTAGTTTTCATTAGAGACAGGAGCGCTAACACCCTGGCACCCCAAAGTAAGAACCTTCCCCTACTTCAAAGGTAACTAACTCCCGTGGTATGTGCACGTATCTGCTTAAATCTTCTGTCAATAAAGGCAATTTCTAAATGCTTCACCTCCCGCTCCCAAACAATGCTCAGGGATGACGGCAGGCACTCTGCCCACCCCACCCACCTGCAAATATCACATGGTTTTTTTGTTTTACAGCCCCAAAATAAATTGTCATAATACAATCCAGCCCACACACGTCAAAATGAAGCGCGCTAGATGAGGTTACTCACTAGACTACTGCCTAAGGAAAGGGAAGCCCTTCTGAAATACAGGGTTGGAGCAGAGAGAAAATAAGAGGAGACAGCAGAAGGAAAAACTATTTACATCATTGAAGATTGCAGGGAGTATCCTCCAACCTTAAATAAAAAAGTTCTTTTGCCAGGTTGACACAGAGACACATCTACAGGATGCCCCTGACCAGAGAAACTACCCTCACTGCTTTTTAGCAGCACCCGTAACACAGGCAAAACATCGTCACGGCATGGGTGGCAGAAGTCGAGTGTCACAGAAATCACGCACGCAGCAAAGCTGTCAAGTCTACCAACACAGGCCTAGAACAACAACAACAGACCCCAAGCTACACATACACAGCACACAATTAAAACTCTTGAAGGATCCGGCGCAGACCCTGACAATATACAAGCAACCCACAAGCACGAACAGCGAATTCCTCATCCTTCTTGGCAGAGAAGCCAGAGAGAAGAGAGGAGCCTGAAACTGGATGAAACCTCATGTTCCTCTCTGACATACGAAAGAAAAATCAGAGCTTTAGGTATTTTGTGAGCCAAGTTTTCTTCAGGAAGCCCTAACCCAAAGCCTACATTCAGGCAGGTCTGCGGAGACTGCTCCACATCTGGAATTATCTCCTGAAAGAACCGAGAAATGAGGTGCTTTTCCTCCAGCAGGAAACACACCGCCTGAGGAACGCCGCAAACAAACCACGACCTGCATCTTAAAGTAACCCTCGGGTGAAGGGAGTCAAGAGCACGCTGCAGCAAACCAGGCACAAAAGCCTTGGTAACCACAGCAGAGCGCGGAGCAGAGCCTACCACAAACTTTTACATCAGGGTCAGGAGCACCGTTCCGGATACCAGCAACGAGCAGAACGCCGCAGGCCACTTCCACAAAGTTTTCATGTTTTTGAGACAGCCACTCAATTTTACACGAATGGGTAAAATTGATTAGATTAAGCCTCACCTATTCCCTCCCAAAGTAATTCCCCCAAACAAACACCACATAAGAGAAAAATAAAACAAACCAGAGTCATCTTCCAGGAAGAATTAGACTAAGGCAACACACAAAGAACTACTGTTCATTTCTTCTAGGATCTAAGTCCTGGATCTGGCAGACAGGGAGGAAGAGAAGGGTATGAAAGAAAAACAAACACTAGGGAACAATCAGACCTACATGCAGCACTAGAGGTTTATTACAAATTCTTGCTAAATTCTTTCAACAGAATAAAAAACAAGCGGATTAAAGGAATAGAACAGGTTAAAAAAATATCCCTCTCAGTTTCACAGAGCTCAAAACCTGACCACCACTTTAACAGTAGTGAAAAGAGATGATCAACCTGCGGGATGGTGAAACGTCTGGAGGGACCCAGCACTGACTGAGCTACATTTGCTCTAATTCAACTTCTTTAGTACTAAACTGAAAGGAGAAGCAACTGGCACATTAGCTAGATCTAAGAGCTGCTACTCTAATTTGGAGAGATCACAAATACTATCTCTCACTGAAGCTTGAAAGAGTAAGTATGTAGACAGAACAGAAACGGTAATTCTACTGGGGAAAAAAGAAGACTATTATATTTGAAAAACATGCTTGAAGGTACACGAGAAAAGGGGGAGACTACCTCTACAATATAGGTGTACTATATGAAATTTCAGCTAAAAAAAAAATCAGCTGGGGATCTGGGAGGGGAAGAGGGTTGTGCAGCACCTGTGAGCACGGGGAACAATCTCTGACAAAAGGAAACACGATAACCACGTCAGATCTTTTCTCTCTCATTTTCAGTTGAGAAGGAAGCGATGAAATTATGAGAGCAAAAGATATGAAAGTTGTTCAATATCAGAGGCGTCAAATGTTCACACAAGAATGAAGTACCGGGGATCCTAAACAACATTCACAGGCTCAGCTAAGAAACGCAGCTCACAGCATTGTACCTGCTTGAGCACTTGCCCCAAAGCAACGAGCAGCCCGAGGAGGCAAGGCAGTACCTGGGAAGGATCCGTCACCCGCAGCGTGACCACGTCTTCACTAGTGTATTTGATAAATAGATGGTTCTCATCCAAAAGCTGCATCTTCCACATGCGGAGCTGCCTCAGCTGATCAAAGTACTGGAAGAACCTTCTTTTTGCTATAGCGCTTCCGTCCTGCTCGGCCCTTCGCCACAGGTACACCAGCAGCCTGTGCTTCAAAGAGTTTATGAAGGGCTCTTTGTAGGGGTTGGCCATCCCCGTCTGAGTGTCCCGCTGCACCTCGGGATACACCGCAGACAGAGTCAAGAGATCGTCCTCGTAGCAGAAGCGGCCGATAGTCCGTACGTCGATGAACGTACCCTCAGGTGTTACCTGAAAGACGTGAATAGTCTGTTGCTGCACAGAGAGAATGGCCAAGATGTTCTTATAGAGGTACAGCCCCTGGTTGTGAGACAGGATGACTTTGTCACATTTGAAAGTCCGTGTGTCACAAAGTCTGCCCGTGTGGAGGTCTATGATATGCAAGGAATAATCCTCCAGGGGGGACCGGGGATTAGGGGTCACCGACTCGCTGTTGCGGTAAACCTCGAAGAAGGGAGGGTGAGGCTCCTCGGGCAGGTAGGCGGCAGAGCCGACGATCACATACCGACAGTCGTCGGTGAACAAGCTGCACTCGCGGTTCAAGTGCTCCCCGTTGGAGGCCACGTTGGTGATATGGAGCAGGACAAAGAAGCGTTCAAAGAGCCGCCCCCGGATGTTGACAGATCTTTGGTCATTGCCGTTGGCCAGGATCTCTCCCTCGTAGCCTTGCAGGAGGTCTTCCGCCGCCTGGCAGCCTTGATACTCGTAGATCTCCAGAGAGGTCTGGTCAGAGGAGAAGGCGATGAAGTAGCGGCCGTCAGGGGAGAACTTGCGCAAGAAGCAGGGTGGCTTCTCCACGTTGACCACTGTGAAGTTGGGGAAGACGTTCTGGTGGAAAACGCGGACTTGGTGCCAGTGGGTGCCGGCTTTGCCCGAGCTGATCCGGCGGCGCTCCAGGCGGTGGATGACATTCTGGTTCTGGATGCGGCGGGGCCTGATTGTGGGGGCGTCATGGTCCATGGTCAGAGCTCTACCTCATCTTCGCCCTGCCGGGGAGAGAGCACACACGTGCCCTGCGACTACACAGAGACGGGGGGAGAATTCAGCGTACTGAGGGACCTGCTCGCAGAACTGGGGCTGGGGAAAGCCCCATGGCACCCAGGGAGTGGCGGGGGGGTGTCAGCTGAGAGGTGCAGACATGCCTTTGAAAGGGGGGAGACAACACAGGAGGACACCGGGGAGTGGTGGAGAGACTGGGAGAGAGACCTCAGTGGGAAGTACCAGGGGGGAGCCGAGAGGGAACCCCAACGTGCTGAGGGCCGATAGGATCTGCAGGCCTGTCTGCTGAAGAGAGAAACACGGGGAAGGGACCGGGAGGGGGTGGAGGGAGCCGGGGAGGGGGTCAGGCACAGGCGGGCACCAAGGGAACGGAGGGAGCCCCCAGACACGGAGGAGGGAGTCCGAGGAGCCGGGGATAATCCGTAGACCTGCTC